ACTACGCGGAAAAAACTAGCGTTTTTTAAATAAATTAGACTAAATTTTCTTTCAGAGAAGGCCTATTCTTGAAATTTGGAATCATATTTCAGGTAATTGAAATAAATTAAAAATAATGATCATCTAATGCTGTAAATTTGTCACGTTTTATTTTACATCTTTTGCGGGATGTTCTCAATTATTGTGAAAACTAATTTTAAAATTAAAAAACGATTTTCTCAGTTGCATATCAGATTAAAAATAAAAAAAATAGACTCTTTTTCAATCAAACTGTGATTTCTGATATAAAACATAAATCGTTTTTCTCGTTAAACGAGTTGCGTACAAATTCCGAAAATGGTCGTATAAATTCATACTAATAACCTATGTACTAATTATTTACAAAAAAAAAATCGAATGTTTTTTTAGAAGTGGGGTTGTGGAAATTTGATTAATGAACGTCACGAGGCGACAAATGTTTGTGCACTTTTCTTATAATTTTCTTCCGATATTTAATCTGTTAAAATTCCTTGAAAAATCTAAAAATTATTTTCTTTATCAATAAGATCCAAAATTCAACAAAGAAGGTACTCTACGCATTTTTTCATATGGAAATATATTTTTAAATAAATAAAAAAAAACTTGTAATAGTAAAATTAATTCATTCTGAGCTCTGCTCAGAATTTAATGTAAACCAATACTAGTGTGTTATAAAAACTAGAAAAATAATAATGCTTTTTTCGACCAAGTATCCACTAATATTATTGTTTACGTTAAAAAGATGTATTCAAGACGTCCTGGTACCTTGTATGATATTATGACAGTCTACAGATAACTTTTTTTAAATAAAACCAAAATACTATACATAGGCGCATTTTCTTAATTACCTATGAGTTCCTATTAAAAAAAAATCTAATACAATTGCCTGAAAATGTAAACACAAACCAAAAACTATTTTAACTCAGAGTAATGAACACAAGTAGAAATAAAATATCCTAAAAAAAAAAAGAAATGAAAATGTCAGCACGTATGCGTACCATTGAGTTTTAGATTTTGAGTGGAGGGAAAAAGCTTGTGGTTTTACAATGCTGTTTATTTCTTTCTTCTTTTTTATTTTGTTCTAGACTGTGGATACGGTTTTTTCCTAGTAAACATGCTCCGATTATTACGTGTCTCAACTTTTCTGAAAGTTTAAGATATTTTGATGACACTTTAAACAGGTCATTTTCAGATTTTTGATGCCATTTTTTAAATAAAAACACTTAAGTGAGAAAAAATGTAGGAAAACGTATAATTTCACGATTTCATTATTTTATAAAAACACGGACGATCTTTTCTACCAAAAAAAATAACCTAATCAAAAAATCACAAGACATATTTTTTTTTTGGCCTTTTTGACATGATTTCTTACGGTATTATCGCCAACATTTTTAAGCCACTTTTTAGGAATTTTAATTTTTGGACGTTTTTTGCTGTAATTCGGTTATAAATACATGTAAAGACTTGAAACTTGGTAATAATATTTATATTGTACATAAATATAATCGTCTTAGAAAGGGAATGGTTTATCGTTACTTAAAAATATAAATGAAATAACCTTATGTATCCTACCTTTCCAATTTCCCACCTACAACAGTGACCGCACTCGTCCCCAATATCAGGTCTTTTCTCTAATGCGTTCGATGTTGTTAAAGTACAGTTTAGACAATTTTCCTATAATGCCATAATATTAGTATCAAAATTGCATTTATTTTATTTATATACAGTTATTATCAAATAATAGTTCCTATCTGGACTAGTTGTAACAATTTTCTTATGGATTTCTCGTATGCAATTGTTTGAGTTTAACGCTACAATAGCTACTTCTACCCTGGTTTCATACTTTACGAACTGTTCTCAGACCTATCAAATATGCACGAAAAATTTCATGAGAATCGGTCAAGCTGTTTCGGAGGAGTGCGACCACAAACACGAGACACCACAATTGTATACATAAGATTTATTAATTTTTATATTTTAACTAAGTAACCAGTTTCTATGATCACTACTGCGTATCGTCACGACAACTATTACGCCCCTTCCGCGGATTACCTTATTAATTACTATCTATTTTCTATTTCATTCGTTTAAGTTAACCCTAAATCGACCAAAAATTATTAGATTTTTGTACTAAAAATTTCGAAAACCCGTTTCACCCCCTGTTCCTTGAATACAGGGTGAGGGGGAATAACCTATACGTTATTTCTGGTCATGAACTACATATATGCACGGTTTCAGCTCGATCCATTCAGTGTTGACGTTCATCCGTTTAAACAAACTTTCGCATTTGTATAGCATTAAACTATTTTTTTTTTTAATATAAAAAACTACTTTTTGTGACTTGAATATAAAAGTTGGACATATGCTGTCCGATGCATTTTTCGCAGGCATTATCAAACTATACAAATTTTCTCTAAAACTCAATCATACATCTTTCATCGTTAAGGCACCGTACGTAAGAAACGTTTTCGTTCGACCGTTTTTTCTCTGACTCACTGTGCACGTCCGACTACCGCGAAAAAGTCTTTTCATTTTTCATGGGTTAATACACGGAGTGCCTATGACACTCACAAATAATGTGGCTTTCTATTGGTAAATAGAATTTTCAAAGTCGGTTCAGATATCACCCCCCGTAGCCTCGCAAACTCGCGAACTTTACTTCTTCGTAATAACAGTATAGATTACATTATATTATTGCCTGTATTTTATAAATCCCCCGAGTGCACATTGCTTACGAAACTTAATATGCGTCTGATGGCGCGCTCCGTTTGTATCGGTTTTATTGTTTTGTGTTTGATAAACCGAAAATGCTCTACGCCGCCGAGCACTAGTGCCGGATCTACGTATCACAAATCCCGTGTTTCGACGGCCCGTCCGTTTACGTCCCGTCGTCTTACGTTCCCGTCGACGACGTTCCCGGACGGTACACGCGTTGCGGTTTTCAAAACTCCGCACGTTGACAGCACGGCGAATCACTCTCCGGGGCTCATTAACGGTTCGAATTTTTCCGCCGTTCGACGGTCCGCCATATCGCTGTCCCGGAATCCGCTAAACGCCGTCATTTGACGGCCCGTGCCGTTGTGACGCGCGGTTTTCCTGTTCAGGCCGTAGCACGACGGCCCGCGGGATCGCATACGATGCGCGCCGTACGACGGCGTAACAATCGGGAGTTCGGTCGGACACCCGCGTGCCCGCGATTGCGTTTCCGGCTATCGCTAACGGGTATTTCGGCCGGATGACGTTGGATGTGAATTCCGCATTTCGGGACGCCGCAGGGATTACCGGGGTGCAAACCCTCGCGGGTCGCGGACAACCCGCGGCAAAACGAATGTTTTCCAATGCGTCGACGACGAAATAGACGACGGCCCGACACGGGACATCTGTAATGCGCGTGGCGGCCGCGCGCCAGTAGCGTACAATCGACATTTGATTTTGTACAGCCGCGTGTACTTGCGCGCGCGCAATTTGTATACGCGTGAATTTACTGTCCGCGTTCGCGCGTCATTCGCGAATTCGCGTATCCTACAATATGAATTTGCGTGCGTTAACGGCACACACACACACACACACACACACTGTACGTCGGTGAATATTTTTCGTTCGCGTGTGCGTTTTAAAATGGCAAAAAAATATCGGCCGAAAAAAATAGTTCTCGAATCGGTACACCAAAATCAATGTCGGAATCGTGAATTTTAACGGCCGCGGAACCCACATTCGTTATCGGTTTTAATTTCCAACCCTTGCTTGGAGGGTTAAGTGGGTATTCCATCTAAAAACGTATGCGATTGGTGTTGTGACATATTGATATGTATGTTGTTTTCGAGACCGTACAACCCAGTTTCGACATTCATCCATTATTTAGAGGATTAGGAGGACGTTTTTTCGTCCTTTTTTTTTTTTTTTTTTTAACATTCGATCGATTAAGCGACTTTATATTATAATATTGTGTTTTTGAACCTTAAAGGCAATTTTTTTTTTCTTTTCGTTGTTCAAAAGCATTTTATCAGAACGGATTAAATGATGAATATCTTTCCTGGCAGATAAAGGTAACCGACGCGCGTCGACAAATGTGCACAAACTGCGATACGTTGAATAACGGGGAGGGGGGGGAAAGGAGAAACGAAACGGGTTTTAAACCAAAAGCGGGGCAACTTCGAGCAACCTCTATTCGATATAATATTAATGTATAGAATGCGAACTTCGTTATGGCGCGCACACTGAATGGGAGTGTACAGGAACCAAACACATCCGACTGTGCTCTCTGTTAACTCGTCGCCCGATCGTCACAGATCGGCGCATGCCACAAGCACAATACGGAATTATTTTCGCCGTTGAACGCGTGCGACGGGTTGTTATACCCGCGGACGAACCCGAATTCGTCATAATCATTTCACCGTAATAACTACTGCGTTTCACATAACAGTCGTACAACGACAACAGAATAACCTATCGGATTGATTGTTGTTAAATGCGTTGCTCTAAACGACATATTATACGAAACGCGATCGGTATGGTCGGACGCCTCGGGAATAACAAACTCGAGATCGATTCAAGAAACTTATTTGGAGAAACTTGGAAAAAAAAAATTCTTTTGAAAAGTTCACTTTTGGACAGCTTTTTCCGGTTTCGAAACACCGTGCCCCGCGTCCGCGTTCGCGTACGTATTAAATTACTTTTTTTATTCGAGATCTACAATATTTGCACAGCTTGTTTTATCGGTTTCCGCGGTCACGGCGTAGCGTTTCCGTTGTCAGGTGCGTGTGTCTCAGGACCCGAGAGGATATAATGTATTATTAACACGAGTTACACGAATGGGCTGCGATACGAGTTTCGTATTGTTTATTTTCTTTTATTTTTTTTTCGATTTCGGCCCGCAGTGAGGACGCGCGTAACGAGAATCGATCGATGATCAATACGCCGCGCTATTGATCATGGCCCGCGGTCCGTGCGCGCCGGGCGCCGTAATCGCGTTAATAATAACCATGGCCGCGGTCCCGACCGCGGCCAACGATATCGAACGGGGCAACGGCACTGGCCGTCGACAACAACGCGGTGACCGGCTGGCGCCGAGATTCCTGAACGGGCACCGCGTCGCCTGGACGTGCACGCAGCGGCCGGTCGGAGCGACGTCCAACCGCGACGTCGTCGACGCTCCGCCGGCGCACGTCAGTTACGAGCCCGGCAACGTCGTTTTCACCCGCATGCAAATGGCCGGCGACAGGGCGTTTATAGTGTCCCCGCGATACAGGTGAGTCGTAAACTCGATCGGGTTTTCACCGGAACCGAGCCGATAACTAGTTGGCTGGTTGACTAGTTGGCCGGCAAGTTTCAAGTTTGTGTTTAGAATATTAACTCCCTCGAAGCGACATCGGGTTCGGACCAACAATCTCTCCCGGCACCTGGTTTTTCTTAAATACTGTTGTGTAAATAATAATAGTACTTAAACATTTTATCGTTGTCCGCTCCCCCGTAACAAAATCACACGACTACCGCCGGTCGCTTCACTCACAATCGTATGTTCACGACCGTAGGCCAGGCGTTCCGTTCACATTGAGTTACGTCTTGTTGACCGACTGCCGTACATCCGAGGGGAGAAATCCCGCCCCGTGCAACGGTGACGTTTTCCATCCGGTGTCGCCGTACCCTTCACTTCGGGCCCACTGCCAGTTTTCCAAGTCCTCGGCAAAATCGCACGGCGGCGAGCGTACGTGCGACAACGAGGGTCTCGTGAACGTGGTGGACGCGTACTTGGGGCCCGACGGTGTGCTGTGGGTGCTCGACGTTGGCGTGATCAACACGCTTGCGCCGGCCAACACGCTCGTCAAACCGAAAAAGTACACCGAACCGAAGGTCGTGGGCATTGACGTGGCCACCGGACGCGTAAGTACGTCACACGACGTGATAAAATTACCGGACAGATCCGCCAGCGAGTAGATCGCGGGACAATGTTAGAGCGTAGGATATACAGTCTCCGGGTCGCGTGCAAAGGGGGAACACCACAATCATAGACGTGTGCGGGACATTTTCGCGGACCGCGGCTCAGAGGAAACGAGCAATTATTCCTTCGGTCTTGTATTCCATACCGTGAAAAAGTAGATGGCGCGAGCGAAATTCCGATTCATTGTAAATCGTATTTGTTTACCACGTTTAACAGGCACCCGCGTTTCGCGAACGCGTCACCACTGAATACACGAGTATCGGTAGCCATAAAAAAAACGACCCGATACGTTTTTATAATTTAATCGTTACCGATAATACGTCGTTGAAAATTTACAAAAACCCAATGTTATCGCTATTGTACAAAACACTTCGAAAAACCCCGAGGCAGTGATGATGAGTTAAATCGCAGTTAATAGCGGCCGGGCGGTTTGAATTATTATCGAGTAACCATTCGATCGCGATTTCATATACCCGTGAGTTTATGCGAAATTTCGATTTCAGCCCAGGAGACGTGCCGCGGCACATCCGACGCACCCCGCGCGCGAGCCCATAACAATCGTAAAACATTGTGGAGTTGTAACTTATAAACGGGTGCCACAGTCGTTTACTACACACACACAAACACACACACACACACGCGCTTGTTGGTTTTCGTATAGACTGTGCACAAGATTGAATTGAAAACGCTATTGCCGTTCGACGGCGACTTCGGCGACGAGAAAGCGAAAATCACGGGCCGGTCGCTGCACACCATTGCCGTAGAGTACGAGGACGACGAGAGCGCCGGCGACGGTAGCGGGTCGCCTGCCACTGTTCCGAAACAGGTCGACCAGTCGCCGGGTACGACCGCCGGCGACGGACCGGGCCCGTCCGGCAGCGCACCCGTAGACGGTCACGATGACGACCGCGGGAATCGCCGACCCGCACGCCGGAATCGCGAAAAGCCAGCCAGACCCGTGGCGGTGTACGTGGGCGACGCGACCGACGGTGGTCCGGACAGGGGCTCGTTCGTTGCGTGGTCGGTGAGAGACGCCCGGGGAATCCGCGTCAGGTTGCCGGTTTCCGTTTCGGCGGCGCGCGGGCCAGGCGGCACTGGCGACTACGCGGACGCGGACGACCCGGACGCGGAACGGAATATGTTGCACCTAGCGCTGTTGGACGAGAGCCGTCCGGCCGGCCAAGTCGTACGCCACCTGTACATAACGTACGGCCGACACCCGTACGCGTACAAGATACCCGTGAACGTGATCCGAGATCGACGCCGCGGGGCAAACGACGACCGTTCCGAGCTGCGGTTGACCAAGTGTGGCGTGCGTGGCTGCGGTACGGGTGGAATCCGGTGCCTCGTGAACGTGGGCCGGAAACCCGTGGGACCGGATCGCCGGCCGCTGGTGCCGATCGATTCGGTGTACGGCCGCCTGTGGTATTACCGCGGCGGCACGTCCGCGCACGGTTCGGACCTTTACGTCTGGGACTCGCGAAAACCGTTCCACGCGGAACACTTCCGGCGGGTCGGCGGAGACGACGGTCCCCCGAGTGTGCGGAAAGACTGTTCGTGCGGCGACGGGGATGAAGAAGACGCTGGCGCTGGCGGCGATCGCCCGCGTCAGCCGCGGCTAGTGACGAAAGGCCTGCGGCCGAGAGACGACGGCAACGCTGATGGCGTCGCGAGTCGGGGTGGCAGGGCAAGCGGTGGCGGTGATAAAGACGACGACGAAACCGGCGAAAGTCGCGACGCATTGAACAAAACTGCAACGGCCGGCCGACAACCGGTGCGGGGCCGAGCGGCGTGGATCGGCTGCATGCAAATAACGTCGGTAGATTACTCGAGTTGGGATCCGGTGGCGAACGACGCGAGTTCCGACGGTTACGGTACGCTGTGGACGTTCCGTAGCAATTTTCATGACTCGATACGCGGTCGGACGGGACGTTTCGGTCCGATCGCATTGTTGAGTCCATTCACGTCGGACTGCAATTTATGAGATCGGGAAATTTCGTCCATCGACGTCCGTTTCTACCAGTACATTTTATCGTTTATTTACAATATATACAACGTTAATTATAATATTTTAGATTCTGAGTGGAACGAAGAAGCTTATGGTTTCACAAAGAAGTTTATTTTTTTTTTTCTTATCTGTGCAACTTTTCTACCCGAAGACTGACTCAGATTTGTATGTGTAGCACCTTTTCTGAGAGGAAATCGGTGTGGGGAGATGCTTTAGGTAGGTCATTTTTCCATTTTCCCCGGAGTTTTCTCATCAAATGCGAACAAATAGGAAACTATTACGGTCTTTTTTTTCTGTGGACAACTTTTCTACCAGCAATTTTGCTCCAACTTTTAATGATAGCAATGTTTCTGAAAGGAAATTCCACTGGGGAGGTACTTTAAACAGATCGTTTTTCCATTTTGCCCGGAGTTTTTTTTAGCAAATGTGAAAAACTGGGAAAACCGGGAAATAAAAAATATTATTAAAGAAAGTATATAGAGCCGCCTGTTTAAATATTTTACAATAATATGATATATATATATATATATTGTTGACAAAGCATCACTGTCAGCTGAACTCCGCTCAGAATCGTTTATTCGCAAGCAATGGTTTATGTCGTTGCTTACAAGTATACATTAAATTACCTATTACAGTGGCTGCACTGGCGTCCCCGTTATCCTAAGACGTCGTCTTACTCATATACGTACACCTCGTATATTATTAACGAGTCAGAAAAATGCATTCGTATACAATAGTATTTTATATTTTAGGGTTCTCTGGAATGTTGACGCGCGCACCATGATCAGTTGATTGTGTTATCAATGCTGTCGTTAAATAATCGTTACAAATTAAAACGTAAGAGTGACATAGTACTTAAAATTTTGAGGTTTCATCTGATACTATGGTAAACTTTGCACATTACTGAGTCTCGTCTATTTTACGAACAACTTTAAAATCTACATGTTCATGTCGTCAGTCTACAATTCCAACAGATTAATGGTTGACGAAAAGTCTGAATTCATATAAATCAACAAAATTAATATTCATCAAATAAAACTAGAATTAAAAGAGTACAATATTTCGGAAGACACGCGTTTATTTTTTTAAACGTTTGTTATGGACTGATTTGACAGTCGACAACAAATAAATAAATTAAGTGAACACTCACGAGTTATTGAATAATATTACTACTATATTTTAAATTTAATAAATCAACTGTTATGACAAATAGAAAAACATAGATTTACGGAGGTTCTGCCGAATGCTCTGCTGTATCCCGACTGCCGTCGTACGTCGTTCTTGACGTCGTACGAACCGCCGGATAGGCAAAAAGGGTTAACTCAGCGCATTCTTTTTTGCCTGTACAATATATATAAACTATCGTTTACACAATATTCTTATTACTAACCATTGGTCCTTGAACCTAACTAATATACCAGGGGTTCATAACACGTTCCAACAATTTAAAAACGAATAAATCAGTTTTTATTATTAAACAATATATTGAACGTTAAATCCGGAATAATAATTAGAACAACAGGGAAAACGCAATTCCCACCGGAATATTTTCCTCTTTTTATTTTGTAAAAGGCGCTTTTACTTTAAAACCAAAATTAACAGAATTCTACGTAGACTGCGTAATGTAGAATTTGCTATATTGCCCGTTAGTTGGACTGAGACAACATATACGAGTATAGCGTCCTTTTAATAATAATTTATTAGTTTGAACATTACAATAACAACCGTCCATTACTTTCTACATTAGATTTAAAATCTTCAATAACAGCTACAGTATCTATATCAACCGTTAACTCTTGTTCTACGGTTAAAACCATTAGAGCGTTCAATCTTTGTTGGACCGTTGTTGTTCGTAAATTTAATTTAACAAGTGATAGTTTTGAAAATGACCTTTCACGCGTACAACTTGTCACAAGAATAACCATAAACTTTTGAAGAACAGTAAAATAGTTTTTGAAATAATCCATAGTAGCCATTGGTGGATTGTGATTTTACTTGTAGATGGGGCTTCATAAATAGAAATTGTGGAAACTTTTTTTCATCGCCTTAACTTCAGTTTCTATATTATTGTTCACTGTTGCACAGAAAATGTTTTGATAGAAATTGAATGCAAGGCCATTTTTTGATTTTCTCGGGAGTTTTTATAAGAAACGAGAAAACCAGGAAAAAACATGGGAAAACCGGGAAAAACGTAAAAAAAAAAAAAACGGGAAAATCGGTACATTAAAAAAATATTATTAAAGTTAATCCATAATGCTTATTTAATAATTTTACCATAATATGACATACATTATATTGTTGACAAAGCAATAATATCAACTGAACTCCGCTCAGAATCGTTTTTCGTTAGCAATGGTTTATCATTGATTACAGATATAGTTTATTGATCATTTGTTTGCCATAAAAACATGTTTAATGAAAAAAAAAGGTTACTCTTTTGATATGCTCATAGAAATACATGAATATTGGGATTATATAGATTATATAGAGAGAAAGGTGAATATTTAGCAATGATTAATCGTTATATATTTAAAAAATTAATTGTGAACTGAATTATAAAAAACTGTTTTATAGTTTCATTAAAATATGGATTTTAAAGATTCAATTGGAACATGGAAAGATAATGCTGTTGTGTACCAAACTACGAAAGCTTGTACCGGCATAATTAATATAATGGGTCCGGCGGTTCAAATATTAACTTAAATTTTGGTGTAAACTGGTCCTGTCCACTTCCTGCTGTAAATATAATTCGAATAATAATACAAAATTATTATATAATTAACAAAATTATTTTTGGGCGCATACATCTCATAAGGTATAGATTTCATGAATCTTATAAAAAAAGTCTAATTTTCCAAAATAATTTTTTTATGGAATTTACAAGTTAAGAATTTCAATATTAGATTATAAAAATAAAATAATCGGATCTACTATCCTGGATATTGATCGTCCATAGGAAATTGAATAAACTATAATACCTATAATTTATATCAGGGGTGGCCAAACTTATTTTGTTAGAGATCTTTAAGAATATGTTTTTCCATTGAAGATCGACTTCCTCACGAAAATTAATTATTATAAATCACCCAAAATATAATAATAATAAACATACACGTTCATAATAATAAAACTAAAATGCACCTAGTAAAATAATAGTTAAATAATGGTTATATATTATATTGTAAATACAATTGCCAGAATTAACTGTTGAATTGTATTATTTGATAAATTTACAACAAAATAAAGATAACATATTAAGATAAAAATGATCAGCAAATTGTAATTTATCTACTAATTACGCAAAAATAAATTCTAACAAAATGGACATCATCTGCGATCGACCGGATATGGTTTATTTTATTTTTAAATAAAAACTATCATAAATTAACACATAAATATACAAGTGAAAAAAACAAAATAATAATATAATTTATTTTTTTAATGAAATTAAATGCTAGATTAATTAGAAAACGAATAAAATTGTTTTTTTTTTTATGTTTATATATAAAATAACATTGCTTTTTCAAAACTAGTTTACAATGTCAATAAGTATATTATATAATATTTTGATCACCATATTGTTAAAAATAAGTACAACAATTTTATAATTTGTAATAGGAAAAAATTAAAAAATTTAGATTGGAAAACAAAATATATATTATATATATATATATAATATTTATAAACTTAACTATAAAATATATTTAACTAAAATATTTAAAATAATGTTTTTTTTTTTTAAATTAATCAAAATTATTTTTGAATACCATTTACTATTATGTTCCTCCAATTTTTAACATTTCATCAACATTAACAATTTTTTCTCTGGGTTTACCGCGTTTCATTCCTCTTTCAATTTCAACTCGATCTATTTTTGTCCATCCATTCCAATCGATCGTAATTCTATCTAAAATAAAATTTGATAATATTTTTTTTTGTCCAATAGAACCAAAATATTAAATAAAAATTTACCTTTATCTTTCAATATTTTTGAAATATAGCTATAGCCAGGTTTTGGGTTATCGCTTAACAAACCTTTTTCAAAATCTTTGCCAATCAGGGAAGCCGTCTGAAAAGCATTACTCATAGTAGACACTATCACTCCAATAGGTCCAGACGATAACCAGCCAACACTATAAATTCCTATAAAAGTAAATTGTTGATTATAATGTTAATACTTAATAATGATTTAAATTATAAAAACTGTACCTACCCGTACTTTGGGGTACTATTGAAGACGCTCTATTAAAAGGTATATCGGGATCCGCTTGGATACTCCGATAACCTATGCTGCGAAAGGCCAAATCACATTTTAATGTATACTTTTCGTTTGTGATTACTGCCTTATCTCCTATGAGCAATGATATTTAAAATGAAATGAAATCATAATATTAATAACTTAATATAATTACTAAAATACTACAACAATTATTACAATAATCCGCACCTTCTAAACGATTTATAGCCAATTCGATTCCCTCTATTTTGTCTGAGCCCAATAGCGAGATAGGTGTTCGATAAAACAAAATATCGAACGATTTATCTCCTCGAGATTCGAGTTTTTGGGATGCATCATACATGAGCTGCATTAATCGTTTACGCGGTCTGGGTAAATCTATAATAATATTGTTGTTATTGTGATAATAAATATTGTACAAAAAAAAAAAAAAAACTATTTTTTTTTACCACCAATGACATTTTCAATAGTGTTCATTTGGCCCTCATAGAAGTTAGTGCTCACTGCTGGTAGTTTTAACATTTCTCTAAATTCTTTAATGGTAAATGCTACTTGTAAAGGGCCTCGGCGACCCACAAGAGTGACTTTTTTAACTTTGCTTTTTGCCAATGCTTCCAAACTATACTCTGTGATATCAGTTTTCTAAAAACAAACGTTATTTGGTTTTTATTATTGTCAAATGCTGATTAAGTAAAACTGATCGACTGTACCGACTCTAAGTATATCAACTGGGGTTAACAATATTCGGGCTACATCTAAAGCTACATTTCCCTGTCCAATGATAACAGCGTGCTCGGCATTCAAATCTACTTTGATATTCTTGTTTTGTGGCTGACCATTGTACCAGCCAATAAACTTTGTAGCTGATACAACGTTGGTCAAACATTCACCATTGATATTTAATTTTCGATCTTCTTCGGCTCCATAAGCCTGAACAAAAACCAAACAATTAATAATTCTAAAAATGTATTTTCCAACATAATTATAGGTGTTATAATAACTAGAGATAGGATGTTGATGAATTATGCATTTTTTTGCCTTGATCCTATAAAATGCCATTTTAGCTAAAAATTAATTTCATGCTTCCCCTTGATTCAAAACATACCAATTTTATTTTCCTTTTTTTTTCATATAATTTAATATTTTTGTACAATGTAGGGCATTTTTCTCAAATTTTAGATTTTAAAGAAAACTTCAAAAAAATAATTTTATTATTATTGGGATATTTTTATTGCGATTTTATATGGTTAACCATATAAAAATGTTTTAACTGACAGATGTCTTTAGTTTGAAAACATCAAACACATTTTAATTGTACAGTGTAACGGAAGGTAGGTATGCAAAATAACAAAATTTTTGTTTTTATTTTAACTTGATTTTAAAACAAACAATCTGTAATTTAATTATTACAATAAGTATGTATGCGAAAATATATTAGTTATTGACATGAGAATCATGAGAAAAGTAGCCACCCAATAGCAACACTTTACATAGGAATTTGTTTAGTATTTAATCATGGTTTAAACCATCTTCTCTTAAGCCAAGGAGGAAGATTACCATGAACGGCGTTAAAATTTACTGCTGATATTGGGATTTGGATGATTTTCTAATCGCGCTCGGAATCGTTTGTACAGTATTTATTTTTAAGTCTGTATTAAGGGTGTAATTTGAGACATGAAAAAGAACATTTGTAACGTTACAAAGAGTTAAAATTTAAACATCTATTAGCTATTGTCTATTAATTTTACAATTCATGTTTAAAATTATTCAGACTCCATTATCAAACCAATACTATATGTATTACTAATGATTATTATTTTTAATTTAATGATTTTCACTTATTTAAGTAGATTTGTTTGGTCATTTTTTGGGGAATTTTTGCATTTTGTATAGTCTTTTAGGTCATCAATATCGTAACTCTATTAATAACATACTAGTACGACAGCATGATATGAATGTTTTAGTTGAGCCAGTGTTATGTGACGACCGAGCGTAACATTGCCTATAAATCGAACATGTTCGTTTGATGCGGTTTTAGAGAACGTATTAATGACATTCTTCACTTCTGGATGATCAGGGGCAACACCATAACGTACTAGACCAAACGGAACAGGTAGCTTTTCATAAATATCGATTTGACAACCAGGAATAGTCTGTAAATATAATAAGATAGTTTCAGAATTGTTTTAATATTAAGAGGGGTTTTTCGATTACTTTTAGCAACTGTTGTGCACAGTAAAATCCTGCGGGACCAGCGCCTACGATTCCGACATGAAATCTGTTGTTGTCTTTTGAATATTTCCTGACTATATGCCTCAAATACCTCCATCGCATCTGAAAAACCAAAACAATTATCGTTTGTCTGCTCAAATGAACCATCATATAAATTTTTAATTGTAAAGTTTATTTTATGATATTTAATGTCTTTCTATATAATATTATCAGGTAGGTTAATTAAAACGAAAATTATTTAGAGCGTTGTTTAATAACACTGTTTTAACGTTCAATAGACGATTCTACTTACATTTTTTTTTTAATTGTACGAGATGACAATATAATTCGAGAAAAACGTTCAAATAAAATATTAATGAAAATAAAAACAAATTATCATAAATTCAAAACGATATTACGGTAACGTCACTAAAGTTTGACCCATAATTGATAAGTAAATATTTGATAACAGAGGATTATTTTTTTTTTTTTTTTATCAAAAAAATTACATTACAGTGCGTACAGTTGTTTTTACCGCGTTTAAACTCGACAGCACTGTACCGGCGCTATCAAAATTTCAACAATAATTTTGTTATTGTTTACACGAAAATCGGGCAGTCCAATAAAAACATCATAATATTTATGTTCGCCGACTACTGTGTTTTATGTTTTCAATTTTATTTTAATGCACCGCCCCGCGTATTTTCATCACGATCGTTTTGTGTAACGCGTAAAAACTGCGCGATGGCCGGCGACTTGGTCACCCCCGAACGACGAATAAAACAACGATTACTACTGAATATGCGTACGGCCTGTGCACGGTCACCGTGACCGGGCTTCCGGACGGAGAACGGACCGAACATGAAACGCCTGTATGCACTGACGACGTTGCTGCTGGTGACCGTCGTCAGTTGCCGGGCGCACCAATTGGATTTGTACCTGGATTCCGGCGACGTGGAGCAGCTGATCGGCCTGGCCGCCCGGTTGTACTACGTGCGGAACGGCCGGCCCAACGCGAACGCCATGAAATACGTGTTGGAAGTGCCGGCGTCCGTTGGCGCGCTAAACCTGACGTGGAACTCCAAGAGTCCGCTGGCCTACAAGGCCGCCGTGTCGACGACGGACTCGGACCTGGTCGCCCCCAAGCTGGACATGGCGCACGAAGGTGCCGTGCCCGACACGCGGTCCGTGTTCGCCGTGTCGTTGCCGTGCGCCGTCGGGTCCGGCGACGCCGACGTGCGGCTGTCGATCAGGACGTCGGCGAACTGGTCGTCGGACGGCGCGACCGGCGACGTCGACGTGGCGTTCAAAAAGTTTTGCGTGGACCCGCGGACGAACGGCACGGCCGTCGCGCCGGAAACGGGTCGCGCCGCGCCCGTTTACTACGAGCGAGCGTTTTTCTACCACATGATCGCCGCCGCGTCCTCGTTGGTGGCGCTGGCCGTCATCTGCTGCCTGACCACCACGTACCGCCGCGACAAGGCGCGCGACCTGATGATCATCAAAGGTTTCCAAAACAACGAAGTGAACGTGTTTCTGAAGTCCGCGTTGAATCCCAGCGGCAAGTTCAACCGCGCGAATTCGCTGCCCGGCCCGAAAGCCGCCCCGGTCAAGGCGAAAGACTTGCACGAATGCATCGTCGAGCTCAGCGTCCAGAGGCAGCGGGTCCGGTTGCAGAACGTCGAGCTGGAAGGCACGTTCGGACGGGTCTACCGGGGCCTGTACACCGATCCGAACGGCAAGGACGACGAGGTGTTCGTCAAAACGGTAACGGACCAGGCGAGCGCCGTGCAGATATCTGTGCTGCTGCACGAAGGGCTGTGCATGTACGGGCTCAACCACAAAAACGTGATGACAATACAAGCCGTGTCCGTCGAACAGCACGTCGAACCCTTCCTGTTGTATCCGTACAGCAACAACACGAATCTAAAGAGATTCCTACAAAACTGTAAGACGTCCGAGAGCATTTCGTACACGTTGACCACCAGGGAAATAATCGACATGACGCTGCAGATAATCAGCGGCATGCAATATTTGCACAAAAGCCGGCACCTGCACAGGGACGTCGCGGCCAGGAATTGTCTGGTCGACCCGGAACTGAAAATCCAGATAGCCGACAACGCCCTGTCCAGAGACCTGTTCCCCGGCGACTACCATTGTCTCGGCGACAACAAGAACCGGCCGATAAAATGGATGGCCGTCGAGAGTCTGGAACACAAGAAGTTCAGCACGGCCTCCGACATCTGGTCGTTCGGCGTTCTGCTGTGGGAACTGTTGACCCTGTGCCAGCAACCGTACGCCGACATCGACCCATTCGAGATGTCCGCCTACCTGCAGGACGGCTTCAGGCTGACGCAGCCGGTCAACTGTCCCGACGAACTGTTCACCGTGATGGCCTGCTGCTGGGCGTTGGCGCCCAACGAGAGGCCGACGTTCTCCCAGCTGTCCGTGTTCATGAACGAATTCAACAATCAACTGGTTAAATTCGTATAAAATGACACTTGGCTCGTAGTCAAGACGTTATTTTTTTTATTATTATTTTTTTTTTTTTTATTGTGATAATATTCTCTATGCATTTGTATTTATTTATTTATTTATTAATCGGTCTCGTACGTACACGAGCCCCCGGGGATTTGTACATAGTATTACTATTATTATTATTATTATTATAAATAATTTATTATTATTATTATTATTATTATTATTATCAATATTACAACGCGGTTACAATTTCATTTAAAAAAACAAATCGTTTAGTTGCGACACGGTGTCTTCGGGATCGGTGACCGTGTGTCCCGACACTCTCGGGTCGTTGAATATCTCGTGGTCGTTACCGCCGGCCGACGTTTTGTCGCCGAAAAAATGTATGTTTCCTTTGAACTCGTCTTCGACGTACCGCAGACAATACCGTTTGTCCCATCCGACGGGGAAACAGTCGAAACTTATTTGGCCGCCTGTAACGATAACGGTGATATTCGGTTTAAAAAAACAAACATAATAAATGGCGTTAGGGCGATCCATTTCAAACGGTCCGTCCGCTCATTACGCTCGGACAGCGTCAACTCTTTCCGGGGTTCGTTTCCCAGGACGTTCGAGAAACGAGCGGCTCTACAATTTTATACTTATGCAGTTTTCCGTCGACCAACGTGCATTGAGAATTCCATAATTCCGGATTGCGCGTTACGAAAACCGGACCGGAACCGGTGTTCGCCGGTTCGTAATATCGCCACTTGCGTCCGTTAGTTAAGTTTAAGATTAATCGGGACGTTTGTCACAAGGTAAACTCTTTCCGATCACGATTAAAATAACTAATGATAATCTGCATGACAAATCAAATTTTCTTCGGACGAGTTTACAAATTGATCTGTCCACACCGTTTGAAACGGCGGCATTCTCGAAATACGACCGTTTTGTTGTTATCGCGAAAACCGGTGGCGTACCTCGAAGGGGGGGGAAGCGAAGGTGTCATTGCCCCTCCCTCCCCCTCGGTGGGTCGTATAATTATATTATACGTGACAATATGCGTACATTGTTGTATCTTTTTTACATTTTTAGGAAATTTTCTATTTTACGAACGGGCGAAAATATATTTCGGCCCCTCCCCCCCCCCTGTAAGTGAGGCCTGGGTACGCCGCTGACCGAAAAAAAAGTAAAAGGTGTTTTCTACATAGTTAGCAACGACACGGCGTACTGATATTGTAAGCGTCCCAGGTGCGTGACATTGTCCATTTCGAACACTTTCGAGCACCGTTTGAAAATCAAAAGCGGCTTGGCGGTTTTTTTGCCCTCCTCCCCCCCTCCCCCCGGAAATGGGGGCGACCGAAAAACCGTACGAATCGCAGGGCCGCTCGTTTCCGAAATATTGCGGGAGACGAATTCCCGGACGAAAAAAATACCTCCGGACATAACCCGGCGGATTATCCGCTTATGAACGGATCGCACAACATTCCGCAACGATACCGGAACGGTACAACAACGGGCGCGCGCGTCGACTGACCTACACTGTACGTCAGGCCGATGTCCGGCAAGTTTTCCTTGATGCTTTCGATGAACTTCTTCCGCACGTTGTGCACTTTGTCGTACTGTTCGAAATGATCGCGTTCGGCTTTCGAACAGGACCGTCCCACCGGGCAGATGTTGATCAGGCCGACGCGGAACTCGACGAAATTGCCACGTTTCACGGGCAGCCGGACGTCGGACATGTAGCCCAGGGCGTAGTTGATGAACGTCTGCAGCTTTTCCTCGCCCAAATAGTCGACGATCGTCTGTAAACAGCGGGGAAAAAAAACCGGATGGAAATGCGCCGCCGTCTACGTGTCCGCGGGGCCGTGTGTACTCACGCGTCTGTCGAACTCTTCGCCGTCCTTGAACGCCACCAGCCCGTTCTCGGCGAACACGTAATCGAATTTGGCGACGTCTATAAAAATGGCAAACGCACGACGGCGCGAGCGTTTACGACCGCCGGGCTGTAATATATGAAAAATTTCTCTTTCGGCATTACCGTTTAGCCGTGGTACACTTACGTTCCGGGCCGCCCAGCTGTTCGGTTATCTTGGCCACGTCCGAGCCGCTCACCAGCCCGATGGCGGCCTTGCCCTTCAGCTCGTCCACGAGATACGTCCGGACGGCCGGGTCGATCGGCTGCGGGAGAAAAAAACCGCGCGTATTAGACACCGTCGCCGTACGGCCCGCTCTTCGCGGGGGTGCCGCGCCCCCGTGAACCAGAACGGACAGCTCGCCCCCGCGGGCCCACTCACCTGTCTGGACTCCGTGATCGTGCCGTCCACGTCGAACAAACAAATGGCGCGTCTCGTCCGGCGGTCCATGGCGCGGGTAGCACACGCGGGTTCTCGGCGGCGGCGTGCGGTCGTTCGTACGCGGCAAAACGGACCGGACTAACGTACGGGGCCGTCCGGCGAACACTTGTTGGCCGTTATCGCCGCTGCGTCTTTTTCCACTCTCGTTATCACGCGCGCGCCCGCGATAACACCGACGATGCGCGCGTCGACCGCCGCGTCCGTCGTTCGCCCGTCGGCGGGGGAAATCGACGGTTTGTACCGCCGACAAAACGAACGGTTCTTATCACGAACCGCCGGTGCTTATCGGTTGTCGGTACCACCCCGCCCGTCCGTAACGACCGTCGCTTATCGGACGTGCACGGCGATTTCGAAAATGCGCGCGCCCAGGTGTCGGCGTCGTATTACCGTGTGGTTATTATCCACGGTGGTCGCAGTTGACGGCAGCGTCGCGGTTCGGCCGCAACGACTGCTTCGGGTGGTGTGTGCGTGTGGGACGGGGAACAGCAAGAAAACAAAAAAAAGCGACCGCCGACGCGCGCGCGCGCGCTCCGGATATCGATCGCGGTTTCGCAAAAACCACGAAAACGGAGCGCGCGCGCGGGCGCGTTTCGAGTTATCAGACGCGACGGCGAAGCGTGCCAACCCACGTTTGTCGGGGAGAAAAAAAACCCGCGACAAACAAACGTCGCAATCGCGTTCGCCAGCGGCCACTTTCCGTTCCGCCGGCTCTCATCACAATCAATTATCGAAATGATATTACACGAGAACCGTTCGTTTTGTTAGCGGTGTAAACGGTTTTTATTATTACTATTTTATCCTTTCCGACGTCCGGTTGTCGTTTCGCGATAATACCGTTTCACCGCCGTCAAGCGTTGGGTGGCCGATAACAGAGTGGGCCCGGGCCGAAACGACAGATCGCGCCACCTAATCCGGCGCAACAACAATCGTAACAACAATACCGTTATCGTCGCGTACACCTGCGGCTGTGCCCCGGCCACAGAGAAAAATATTAAAAAAAAAAAAAAAAAACCCCAAATACGCGGGTACGCGTCTCCCGCGACGCGGACAATAAAACGTCCGTTTTACGGGGCTCGCGTACGTCGAGTACATCGGTAATGAAGCGCGGTAATTACCCCCCCGGTTAGGTGCCACGCGATTCGGGCATTACGACACGCGTTTTTTTTTTAACGATTTTTTCCCAACCGCCCCTCGCGCGTCCCCACCGACCCCCCCTCCCACCACCGTATCCCGCCCTTCGCCGCAAACCGCCCGGTTTTTAATAACTTTATTACGGCCTTACGCCCGCGACTCGCGCCGTTATTATCGTCGTTATCATCGTTCGCTCGTACATAATTATAATAATAATAATCGTACACATGCCTAATAATAATAATAATAATAATGATAACAATACCGTAATCTCCTGTACGCAATATTGCGCTTCCGCGCAAGATCCCCGCGATAACTGTTAAAATATTAAACAGTCGTCGCGCTAATAGAATGGCGACGGCATTCGAATACCGTTGTCGGTTCAACAGCAAAATCATTAATGCGTTATCGGTATAATATTATCATAACGATATTAAGTAATACGCGCCGACCGGCGGCGTGTACACGTGGGCTCCGGGACTGTGGCCCCACCATCAACTCCCCCCCCTTCCTCCCCCGAGAGTTTTGGCCCAAACGGTTTTAATATTGTGTAGCGAAAAAAAAAAATCAATATTCGTCGTATGCATCGTCGAAATACTAATTTCATTTATAACAATTAAATTAATTTAGAAAGATAAACGTTTTTTGTTTTTTTTGTTTTTTTTTTTGATATTTTATGTGTTTATAAAACGGTGAGCCCCCTCCCCCGTGACATTTTAAAAACCCGGCGCCTCCGATACCCACGCAATTATTTTCGTGGTGACGTGATACCGAAAATATTATTAACTCGGTATTGTTGGTTATTATTTATTGTTATTAATATTATTAACATCGTGAGTGTACCCGTTTTTTTTCGGCGCGATGACATTGCACATAATTATTTTGTTTTTTTTTTATTCGGTTTCTCTGTGTAGCCCGCGAAGAAGTGACGAGGCGGGGACGCGATTGGACGCTCAGCCCCCCACCGTGATCATTAAAAGCACCCCTCCCTAAAATTGGTATTTCATTGTTGTAAAATATTAACAGTGCCGGGGAAGTTGTTTTTTTTTTTCGTAATTAAATTTCACGTTGTATATTACCTATCAAAATTGTAACTGAAATCGTTTTAAGTTATTTTTTTTTTTTTTTTATTCGGTCCATTAGGTAGGTATACTAATTATTGTATACATTATGAGCGTAACGACAACGATAACGAGTAACTTTAGACATTTTACTACAAAAAAGTAATTTATAGTAATGAAATGAATTTAATTAAATTACCATCAAATTAATTGAAAAGTAATAAATTCCGTTACAGCTAACCTGTAGCTTAAGTTAAATTACTCCTCGACACTGGTATTAGGATTATCATGGGCGAGACTACGGGTTGAAACCGACGTAATTGTGCGAAATGATCATTTTTTCCCCACAGAAGAATGGTCGCGGGCGCAAGTGCACCCTCGTTATCCTTCCCCCCCCCCTCCCGACCATAAATGCCGCCGTCGCCATTGTCCCGCGAAAAAACCGATGAAATTCACGTTGAAATATCTAACCCTAATTTGTATCGGGTCAGTTCGCCTGTAGAACAACTCTAATTCCCGCGGGTTATTTTCAGCTCATTACCGGTCCAGAGGGAGTCGCCGTAGAAAAGCGTCCGAAAGTGACGGGCAACAGAAAGATAACGGGTACAAAATACCAGACACTACACGCAGTGCGATGGTCTCGGATATTTTCGGGAGAAAATCCGACATAAAATCGGGTACCTACGGTATCATAATACGGGGGCTATCTCAAAATCAAACTCCGAAGGGAAAAATATATGTGAAAAAAAAAAATGATTTTTATTATTTCCATAAAACAGTTTTATTAGCGTTTAAATTATTTTTCTGCACAGTCTCCGTTCAACTCTACACGTTTTTGGTAACGCGGGACGGGTTTTTGTACGCGCCGTCCTTAAAAAAAAAAAAAAAACGGCACCGCCAGTGTGTTTCGCGGGACCCGGCGGCCGGTAGGACCCGCGGTAACCGAACCCTGAGTTTTCCAGACGCGGTTCTGCGTAGGGCACTCCGGGAAATTTCGGCAAATCTCGCTGAAACCGAAAAACCGGCCCGTTTTCCCCGACAGACCGGTGGTCAGCACGGCGGCGGACCGCGGCCGTGCTCGACTTCGCGCACTCGGCCGCGCTCGCCGCGCACGTCCGTACGTCCGTTCGCGCGCCAATCACGCGCCGTACCGTCACTAGCCGCCGTCGTCGCCCCGTAAACGGCACATGAATGTCCGGGCCGCGCCCGTTTCCACCGGCCCGCGATAGACCGACCGCGCGCCGGGGTCTCGCGGGCGGCGCGACTGGAGATTACCGAACGAAAAAGAAAAACGGTCGGGGGCGCCCGGCTATCGACTCATAGCGGACAATGGTGTCTACCGCGGGCTCCCGAAACGCGGGGGGTGAACGCGCGGCAGAGGCGCCCCCCCGTTCGCGGTGAACCGTCTCGCGAGACGCGGGCCGATTCCGCCGGGACGGCCGTCGCGTCACTGTTGTTCTTGTTCCCGTGTAACACGGCGCGCCGAAACGCAACGGGGCATTTCCCGTTACGGCGCGTCCGTCTTGTCCGGCGCGTGAAACGTCCCAAATCGACAATTGAAAACGCGCACGACGACGTTCGCGGAGTACGTATTTCGCGCCTCGGCGCGCGCGTACAGGTGCGTTTGGCTCGCTAAACGAGTCGCCGCCGCCGTCGCACACGCCTCCCGTTAATTAAATACCGCCGGTGACCCGCCCGTGCGCGAATGTAAATCACGCGCGTACAATGCAAACGCGTCACGGCGCGGACGGACGATCGCGTTTTGATTGCGAACGCGTTCGCCTTCCCCGCCTTCCCAACCGCCAAAGCACTATGATAATAATACGATACTGCTACAAAACGTTGTAGCCGTCGGCGGGCGGCCGGCCGGCCGCGCAGCCTATCCGCACCGCGCGCTTAACTAAATAAGTACGGGCGATCGTTATTATTACACAGGCAGGCGTCATAGGTATAAACGTGCAGGTATTTTTTTTTAAATTTTTTTTCCCGGTCCAAAAAGACCGAAGTCGTACGTAAATTATGATAATGTACACCGAGCGACTTTTCTCGCACACTATATTATATTTTGTGGCAGAATTACCAACGTTTCACAACATACGTCGTAAAAAAGTACTACATCATACGCACAGCCTAACCAGCTATCGTGCACGCATTTATTTAAAAGTGAATTTTTAATGTTTTTGAATTCGTTCGAAAATCCCGTTAAAATTGCCAATACGAAACGCAATCAATTTTCCAGGCGTGTAATGCACCGTTTCAACCGATTTTAATTTACTGGAGGAAAATTTGATGTTTTAATTCGAAGACGTTTTTGTAGAACAACAGAGAGTACCCTGAGAACCTATTTATTTTTTCGCATACCTATTGCATTATGTATTTGTTTCAATTCTATTTTTGGGATGTATCTCGCAGAGTGCTGTAGAAATAGGTATAGACAATTTGAAAGCGATTTCGTTTGCTTAGTTCAACGGTTTTTAACAAAATACCACTTTTTTTTTTCTTTTTTTTTTTACTAGTTTATCTTCTTTTTTGCCAATCGTCTATTTTGTGATTACGTTAGCGGGACTTGCTTGTTTCCGTCAGAATTTAAAACCCCCGTTTCCGCCAATAACACTATTACGATATTCTATATTATTTATTGAACACTCATGGTTTTTAAATATTATCGCATTTGTGTTCTATTATAATATATTTATATCTACGAGTAACTTGTATTTGTTTCTTTGTTTCTTTTTTTTTTTATGGTAGCTCGTCTATTTACAGGTACCTACTTGCAGTCGTGTCGGTGGTCGTTGCTGCCGATCACGGGATAATACA